CCCTGAATCTTGACCCAGAGCACTTCAGCTCGCCCTTCCTCTGACCCCATTCTGCTGGCAGAGGATGTGTAGTGCTCCTTGACATAGATTGCCACCCCCCCTCCTTTCCTACCTTCTCTATCACGCCTGTACAGCCTATAGCCCCTAATGTTTTAACATGCTTTAATTAACCTGCTGGTTGGTTCATATGAGGTAAGAATATACCTTTTTTTCTAATGAAGACAAGCAAACAAGCTAAGAGAGAACTTTATTGGTGTGCCAGTCCTGAGAACATTTTGATTTCATCTGAAAAGGGGAGGATCCAAAAATTCAGGGATCTGATCAAGAATATAGTGGATTCTAATTCCAAAGAATAATGATTTTTTGAACGAAATTAATCCCCATATTTAATTACTTGTTTTTTAAATCTGTTATAATCTTGTGTAGATCTTGCATTTTTTATTGTCGCTCTTTCAGCTGAAATCACATCAGTGTTCTCAGCTTTTGCATAAATAAGGTTCTGAAATTAAACTGCTTGGCTTTGTCTTCTATACAAAAAAAGTGTATTATTTTTGCAGATTAACTAGCCAAAGGGTTAACCAACTCCAGGATGAAACCCTATAACTGTCTTAAAGCTTTACATGTTAGTAAGGTTCCGATTTGAGTCTGTTTAGTCTGGTCTTCAGTACAAAAAATGTGTATTCTTGTTTCATGTTAGCCAACCAAAAGGTTAAGTATTTTGAGTTAAGAGGTGATTAGCTGTGTTCTTTTGAAGTGTAGGGCAGAGTTGCACTTTAAGGACTAGTTCTGAAGCATGAGTTTGTGTAGGCAAAAGCCCAGTTTCTCAAATGCTATGGGTATTTGGTGTTCAAATCCTCCTTAAGATTTCACTTAAATTAGCAGATTGAATGAAAGACTAGACTCTCTATCATTCAGGCAACTCGCAAGTCATGTATGATCCTTTTCACTACAACTTTGATGTTAGATTATGAATATCTATCTGAATAAACTGTCAGATTGAGTCTCTAGCTATATTGCTGCACTTGTTATGAAATGAAAGTATGTGTAATCTATGTAATGTAAATACTTTTGTTTCTGAAGTTTTCTATTAGAGGTTTAAACTAAATATTGCAATGCAAAACAAATTTATGAACTAGGCTGTTTATCTGTTTTGTGGTAAATGGAAGAAAACAAATCCACTCTCTTGTTTGTCTTTTCAGGCTCGGATAGCATTTTTACAAGGAGAAAGAAAGGGTCAGGAAAATTTGAAGAAAGATTTAGTAAGAAGAATAAAAATGTTAGAATATGCATTAAAACAAGAAAGGTATGTATTTATGTAGATTTTTTTAGCTTTTTAGAGGTATCTTCTTTTCATATAAGTGCTTGTTGCAGCATATGGATGCTAGTAGCATTTCAGAGGATTGCTTTAAATAGAGAAATTTCTTGTTTTTTGGCAACAGTTTGGCCTAAACTAATAATTTTTAGTTTAGTCTGAGGTCCCAAAATATCGTTCTGTAACACATTCCTAAATCTGAAGCCCATTTTACCAATGTTTTCTTAAACTGACTTTTCCTGATGCACAAAAGTAGTTTTGTGCTTCTCCTTATGTCATAATAACTGCTATATAACAATTCTGAAACTCTTATACACAGAGAATGATATAATCTATTCTGTTCCAGTTTCATAAAGCAAAGGAATAATTGTATAACAACAAAAATTGCATAGTAATGGAATCCAGCTTCTAACAAATTCCCATAGAAGTGGTAAAAACTTTACTGTGCCTGTCCAATGCTGTATTAGGCTTTATCAGTTGATAAACACCATTGTTTAGAATTGCTAGTTCAATTCTCTATTTGTTTCAGTGTCAAATGTGCATTTTCCATTTCAAAGAACAGCATTCTGTACAAGTTATTGTTAAAACTGTAGTGTACTGTTCCTAAATGAGAGATACTAAAAATGTAATATTGGAATTGGATGAAATCATCACTGTATGTTGACAAAATATAGAGGATGATCATTGGTATATCAGTATCTTTTTTTTTTTTTTTATTCAGGTAAATATAGAAACAAAACTCCAATACTGGAGTAATACACAGGAATTGCATGAGATGGAGGTTATTACATATTTACAAAGGAAATAATGTACAGCAATTATGTAATTTATCTTCTGTAGTATCAATATAATACCTAATGTATTTTACTTTTTAAATAATCTGGGCAGAGACACCGGTTTACTGGCTGGTGGAGAATATATATAAATCTGGAATTGTCTTCACTTTTTTATAGTATAAGAAAAAGTATAAAATGTTTGGTCTTCTTTAATATACATGCACTTCTGTTTGGTCCCTGTCTGTTCTTTTATGTTTTTGTCCTAAAAGTAATTATATTTACTAAAACCCCTGCACCCTTCATTATTTACCCAGTCCAGTTTCCCTCCTGTGTGGATCCTCAAATCATCATTATTTTTATACCCTTTAGCTCTCCCCCACCATCATTAATCTGAGGGGAAAATAGATCTGGGGGTCAGGTAACTTCTTTTGCTCTCTGCTTCCTCGCACCCTTTTTCCCTGGCAGTCCCTTCCTCTTCTTTTTACTGTCATACTCTGCTCTTTTCCTGAGCACCTAGAAGTGAGGAACAAATCTGAAAACAATAACTTTGAAATTAGGCATGTCTGTAGCAATTTGCCTATACTGCCTATACACTTAGTTCAACCAGAATGGGTGCATTTCAGCTTTGAAATTGCTCCAAGTTTTAACACACATATTCCATAAGCACACTTTTAAGCAGCACTTTGGCACCTACTTATATAGTACAAACCATGCATGATATTAGTCCAAAGCCAAAAGACTCATAATTTTCCATACAGTTCCTTGGGCTGGGCCCCAGCGGAGACAACAACATTAAGCCAAGTGGCCCCCCAGCTCAGCACTGCTGTGTGTCTGTACATACACATGTATACTTCAGATACTACACCCCTCCCCTTTGAGCAACCACATAGGCTGTCAGACTTATCTCTGTACTCCTTGGCCAGCCCTGGCAGAGACTTTTGGGTCTCCCATAATCCTCATCTGCATGGTGGCTGGGCAGTTAGCCAGACTGTGGGCTGACTTTACCCCTAGCCCCTCACCGGGAAACTGATCAGTCTTTTCCCCCCTTGAGCCAACACTCTGCCCCTTACGCTGGGGTGTCTTCCACCTCTATAGGCTTAAGTGCCTCCACTTGGTGTGCCTGACCCACCACTCCACCCTCGTCACTTGGGGCCCCGGGTTCTTACACCCCTGTAGGCTCAGGTGCCTCCACTTAGTGTGCCTAGCCCACCATTCCAGGGTCCAACACCCCTATAGGGCTCAGGTGCTTCAGTAAGCGTGTCTGGCTCTGCCTTGCTCTCTCAATAACCCATCAGATAGTTGAGGCTGGGGTTAAGGTGCCTGTACCCGCCTTTCACTATGGAGGTAACTGGCCTGGCATTTCTTGGGGACTCCCTTATTACAAGGAGTCCCACCAGGCCACCCTTCCCTGTCAGGGTGCAGTTTCCAGTTATACCCAGAACCAGGAGCTTCCAACCATCCCCATAGCTTCTGCCATTACCTCTAAAATGCTCCCAGAGCAGTAGCTCAGCTATGTGATGTTACTCCTTTGAGGGCTGCCAGCAAACTTGCTCCAGCCCTGAGAGCTGGGCTCTAAAATAGCCCCCCTCATCAAGCACCTGCCAGCTGCCTGCTCCAGCCCTTAAAGTGACAGGCACCCAAAAGGTGCTCTGTCACACCTGCCTACTTCTCCCTGGACTGCTGGTGCTGCAGCTGTGCTGCTTACCTCAGGGCGCACTCCCCATGGGGAAAGCAGCTCGATGCTTTGGTGGCGGCTTGGGGGTGGGTATCATGTCCACTCTGGGTTGCTCATGCTCAGCACCGCCCCTCCCCCACTCTCCAGCTCTTGAACTTAAGTGGAGGATTGGATGTGGCTCCCCATGTGAGTAACTCTGGCCATCCCTGCCCCATTCAGACGGTCTGCTCTAACCTATCTTTGTGGTAGGTTTCTATCAGCATGCTTGCCCATTGTGGGCAATATGTAGTCATGCTCAATGTTGGCTGCATTTAATCAGCTTGATGATTGGTTTCTATTGCTGAGCATATGCTGCTTTTGGCAACTGTTTAATGATAGTGTTTTTAGTGAGATTTCCTTGTATGCAGTTATAAGAAAAGATGTTTTTCCCCATGCCAATTATGAGAAGAAAACTTGTTTTGTATTCAAGTCAGTACGATAATCCCTCCATACCTAAGTAGTGAAATCCTTTCTGGGAGGTTCCCGACTCGCACCCTATGGAATCATTGCTCTGTATATTTTGTCAGATACTGTTTCCTGAAGGAAATTGTGCAGAGCCATATTTTATGTCCTATATTGTACTATATTTATACCCTTTATCCACCCTTCTTACCCTTTCCTTTTTGTTTTGGAATGTATCTGTACTCCCCTGTTTTCCTAATCATTTTGGTCCCCAACATTGTTGTTTTATCTTTTTTTATTTTTCCTTGTGATATTCCCCCTTCCACTTTTTCATCTCCCTCAGATTATTCAGTCCTGCTTAAATTCTTTTGAATACTCCTAGTTTTGTGACTTCCCCATCTCCTTGTCCTTGTACTTTAGTATCATCTTTTTCTGGGGTTAAGAGTTTGCTTCTCACTGTCTGTGTCAAGTCTTAGGCTGCAGTTCCAGTATGAAGTATGCTCTTCGTTAAGTTTAGTTTCTCAAAGATGTTAAGACCTTCTTTCTGTCCTTCATAATATATGGCTGCTCTTGATGTGTAGAGATACATTTAGCCGGAAAAGCCCATTTGTGTCTTATTTGCTTCTCTGAGAGGTATTATAGTTTTACTCAAATATTTCCTTCTCCTTAATATTGCCTGTAATCAGTGAGAGAGTAGGACTGGGAAGTTTCTCTAGCCTTCTTCAGAATTTGCTGCTTTTGTTCAAAATGCATGCAGCCTGTCTCTTGGTTTGTTTGAATTGGGGTAATGTAGAGCTGTGTGTACAAGGAATAGATTCTTTGTTTTCATCAGTAGGAATATAAGTCTTCTGCTGGACATCTATTCTTCACACATTTCTTCTCTCTGTTTCCTATCATCTCAGTTTTCTTTGCAAGCTCTTTTTTTTCTTTTTTGAACCATCTTAGTTTTGTTTTGAAGATTTACTTGTAGTTGTAAGTTTCTCTCTACCTTTACATTCAGGGTTGTGACCCTGTCCTAAATTCTTTTGGTCTCTGCTTTGATTTTTATCAATCTGTGCCTCTATAGAGTATTTTAAAGCTCTGCTTTCTGAGATTAACTCACCAAAGTCCTTTCTTGTCAAAGGGACTGTTTTGCCTTTTTCCTTTTCTGCTCTGCCTGTTCTGTTTTTCCCTTGCAACAGCCACCATTCTGCACACCCTGTGAACTGTTCTGAATTTTCCATGAAGTTTCTTCTGGTGAAGCTTAAGTTGCTTCAGTGCTATTGAAAATTTCATTCCACTTCAGAATCTTAGTCCTCTTTAGCCCCTTGGCTTGCAGGAAACAGATCTGTAAAACAAGGAGGGACCGGAAGACCCTTCAGCCAACCACTTTTAGTTTCTTTTAGTAGTTTTATAGGATTGCTTTACCAGACGTACTAGACCAGAGCAGCATAAGAAGAAAACAACCAAAAGTAGATCCCTTTTGTTCTTAATAGTTAGCTTATGTTAAGTATCAGTTGACTATTATTTAGTCTTAGAGACTTTGCAGCAAGAGCTTTTTCTTATTCTGCAGTAATATAAAGAGCTTTCTTATCTTGTAAAGCTTTCAGTTCAGCCTGGCTGACCAGGCATCTCTAGGAAGGGCACATCACTAGAAACTATAAGAAGAAATTGGCAGATAAGGATACAGACACTTCCTAGCTAACAAACTGGCTTATAGTGCAGGCTGGCTGTGTCACAACTGCTGAGCTTACTGGACCCAGCTCATAGCACAGGGCTAATAAAGACACTCACTTTCTTGCTGTTCTCAAATCACATAGAGCAGTGAGTCTCAACCAGAGGCCCACTGCACTCTAGGGTGCGTTTAGAGCCTTTCAAGGGTGCCAGTGGACACCATTCAATGTTAGCACAGTTGGGTGTGCAAACATAATTCACAAGATAAACCCAGAAATTTCAAACAGGAATTCATAGTGGTAAAAACATTGTGTCCTGTTGTGGTCTTCCTGAGTTCTTTGCAATAGAAGCATTGCTTTATTACTTTTCCACAGTCAAAATAATGATTGAAAAGTAAGACCTGACACTTTGTCAGAGGTGCCTCGAGCCTACTGAGGGGTGCCTTT